GCTACTAGGAGCAAGTGCCTTACTAGTAGTAACAAGAAAGCTAGTAGGAAACAAGAGGCTATGTTCCAGCCCGCAAAGGGCCATGGCCTCCACCCCTAATAGCGATGGCCTCTAACCTCAAAGCGGTTTTGTTACTACTAGCAGGGCACTTGTTACTAGTACTGTAGCTTCTTGTTACTAGTAGTAAGGCACTTGTTTCTAATTGCTTCTTGTTACTACTAGTAAGGCACCTGTTACTACTATTGGAAGAACCAATCCATTTTCAGATGTCAAACGACTCGGCTTGGCCAGGGTAAATTGCACCTGGTGGACCTGGCGGGCAGTGAGTGTGCCAAGAAAGGTGGCCTCATTTATCCCGAGGCCAGGCCCAGCATCACGTACGTGTGTCGGGTGATGCACTATACATAAGTGAATCCTTAAGTGACTTGGTCATACAGTTTTTGCCGTGTTATACCTATTCATACCTATTCAATTGTTTTTTTGGCCATGTGTCGTTGCCAGGATGTTTCTGCTTCAGCCCGACTCCTGGCGGGACAAGAAGAAGAGCGCGAGCGAGGGACCGAGGAGGATCTTCGCCGTTTTTTTTCGGGGCCTCGGGGCGCTGCAACACAGCACGGTGTTTTTTTTCCTTCAGAGCTGTTCATTCCAGACCGATTGCTCAAAAGTACTAGCCTTCGTTTCTTTTTTTCTCTTTCTTCAGGCTTTTCTTGCTTTCTTCCTTTGTTCCTTTCTGAATTTCCTTGCCTCCTCAACTATATAGAAAAGACAGCAGCGCTGTGCCTTTTGAAAAACAGGCCCCCCAAAGACGAGAGCATTCTTGTTGGAATTTTTGAGAAACACTGTTGTCTCCCTTCCATCAACCAGGCTTTTCGCTTTTCGCTTAGGCGGCGTTCCATCAATCAGAGCCTCCTGACGCTGGGACGTGTGATCACTGCGTTGCGGGAGGTGCGAAAGGGACTGAAGGGAGGATGCAACGAGGTCGAGAACCGAAGAAAAGAGATGAAACAAGTAGGGCTGTTGCGATGTGACTTTGTGTTTCTTTCTTTGTGTCTTTAGACAATGTTTTTGGTTCTCTAGACCTTTAGACATGTTTATACCTTTTTCCTTTGTGTCCTTGCGATATGGCTTTGTTTTCCATATTTTGCTCACTTGGCAGTGAGTGGTCTCTGCAGGGCTCCGGACGCGTTCCTTATCGGGATTCCAAGTTGTATGGTGCCCCAGCTATCCCCAGCTCCAGCTGCCATTAGTGTTGGCTCTTGCCGAACTGTGGGGAACTCTTGCAAGAACTGATGTTGGAGGCCATCGCTATCAGGTTGGAGGCCATCGCTATTAGGTTGCCAGAACTGTGAGATGTCTCAGTTTACATATGGCAAGTTGAAGGCAGCCAGTTTCCGTGCGTGGCTTTAAAGCTTCAGCGGCTTCGTCTTTGAGTCTTTTTGTGCCATGGACACCAGCCTGAAGGAAGCAGAGGAATGTCGTTTGAGAGGAAATGAACTATTGAACAAAGGTGACTTTGCCGATGCTGTCGCTGAATACGACAAGGGTTTAGTGGCTTTACTGTCTGCAAAGGGTGAACAAGACGATGGAGGCTGCAATGGGGGCTGAAAGAGGGTGGCAAAACCAACACAGAAGGCAGCAGGTTTGAAGCGTTCTTTTCAAGCCTAAGGCCTTTCAAAGAGGAGTCTTATTTCATCCTTTAGAAAAAATGTCTTCATGGTGATGTAGTAATGACCGAAGAGCCTTGAGCCTAGTCCTTGTGCCTATTTTAGCCTCTTTGAGTCGTTTCTCAAGGCGCTGCCATCGCACATCTGCGCGCGGCTCTTCATTTGAATGCCTCCCTGGCACATCTGCGTCGTGGGAACTTGGCCAGTGCTATCGACCATGCCACGGGCGCCTTGGCTGTGGAGCCCAAGACACCGAAGACGAGTGCCATGGAGTCCAAGGCTTTGTACCGTCGAGGCATGGCGAGGAAACAACTGGCGGAGTACCAAGGAGAGTCCCTGGCTGGACTGGCACAGGACTGGCGAAGAACCGAACCTCTCAGCTGGCTGGATCGCCGGTGCTGTTCGATTTCATTCTTGTGTTGTGAGGTTGGTGTGTTGTTATTGTTTCTTTCTCCCAGCAACACAAGCATCATTTTCTTTGATCTCGCAGCTTCAACATGGGGTGACCTAGTGACGCAGCTCATCTCCATTCTTTTTTGTTTTGGACCTAACACAACTTGTGATCACATTGTTTCTGAGCGAAAAAAGAAGCGACAAAAGAGAGGAGGACTTTGAAAGAGCTCTGCAGCTGGATCCACAGAATCGGGAGGTGCGGACTCAGTTGCAACAGTTGCGCGAACAGTTGAAGGATGAGCGAAGGATCCTCAAGGAGCACTTTCAATCCTCTGGATTTCGCAACATCTTCTCAAAGCAACTGTATGAAACAGAGGTTCCGAAGCCTGTGGTGAGGGAGACCAGTGGAAAGGACAAGTGTTTGCTTGTTTCAACATCTTCCCTGAACTTTGACTATTCCGGTGACTCAGTTCTCAAGAGTGTGGACCTGGAGCTGAGGGAAGCTTGGTGCGTAGGCTTGGTCGGTTTGAATGCCTCGGGGAAGACCACTCTGGCTCGTTTGCTGAAAGATCAATTGAAGCCTCGTTCTGGCATGATTCAGCATCATGGACTCAGTCAGACACCACAGAGGAGTCCATGGACCATACTTGCAGTTTTGGTGGTGTTGCTGGGAATCGTCATTCAAGTCTACAGTTCCTCTTCAGTTTCATGGCGACAATCTGCCAGACTGGGGGGTTTTGTGAGTCTTGGCATTGTGGGCGCTTGCTGCCTCCTGACCGCCTTCTACTGCGGAAGGCCGGCCACACCGAAGCATTTGGTGCTGCACTTGTCTAGTGAGACTTCTGACAAGGACCAGATTCACAGTCTGTTTACAAGCGAACCACACTTCCATACCATCTCCCCAAACCGCTCGTGTTGTTTCCTAGCGAAATATATTCAATCCTTTTGATTCAATCCTTTTTATCGTCCTTAACAATACACAGATGCATTTTATCATGCGATGGGCAATGAATGTAGACATCCACACACAAGAAGAACCTCGTCGTCCTTGCTTGAAGGACATCATCAAACCAAGCCGGACCATCGCTTCAGTGATTGGAGATAGCCTCCCCAAGAACATGGCGCCCACAGAGCGCCAGGAGAAAGTGATTTCGATGCTTCAGGCCGCGGGATTTCAGATTTACTAGGAGCAAGGACGCTACATTCGGGGCTCCTGGCCTCGCTACTAGGAGCAATGTTCGCTACTAGGGGCTCCTGGCCTTACTACTAGGAGCGATCGGACGCTACTAGAAAAGTGCAAATACCCATCGCTCCAGGCAGCGGGATTTCAGATGTACAATCAAGAAACCGGTGAGCCCGTTGGATCTCCAGCTGAATATGTTCGGGATGGACTGACCTTTGAAAGACTCTCAGGGGGACAAAAACATCTCATTTATGTCCTGATGTATTTTGCCAAGTGCTTGGCTTCGCCACATCGGGTCTTGTTGGTCTGTGATGAAGTCCTGGGTGGGCTGGATGCCATTCGTCAACCTCGAGTTCTGCGCATGCTGAAGCAGCTTCAAGTAGAACTGAAGGTTGGAATGCTTTACATCACAACGGAGCTGCATCAAATCCACATTCTCGCAGATGACCTGGCATTTTTGCAGGATGGCATCATTTGTGAACTGGGCCCGGCAGCAGATGTTCTGAATCTGCCCAAACATCCTGCGACCAAAGACTATGTCTCGCAGTTTCGTGGGTTGCCGGGTGGCCAGCACTTTGGTGGAAAACTGGCCGAGAGCTACGAGAAGTTGTCAAGTGATGTGCCCTTGAGCAGGTGGCTGTCCTGAGAGCACGTTTGCTTTGATGTGGTCAGCTAGGATGGACCGCTAGGTGCAGGACCCGCCTATAAGGGACCCGCAGGACCCTGAGGCCAAAGTAGCACAGGGGAGCAGTTGGATGACAGCTGTGGAGCTTTTCGATCTCACAGCTGCTTAGCTGGGGGCAAAACAGCTGAGCGACGCTGATGCAAGTGCCCAGTTGTTTTGCTTGGGTTTGAGGATTCTGAATTTGGAAGCAAGACTGGTCGAAAGCTTCTGCAAATTTCTCAGCTGCGACTGAGGACACGGCTTCTACAAGATGCGTTGGGAGGCCGTTGCAAGACAGTGATCATCGCAACCATATCTCCAGCAATGGCCCCAGACAGACTGGGAGACACGGCACGAAAGCCATGGAAAGCCATTTTAGCCCAAAACCTTTCACCGTCTCTTTCATTTTCATTGTTCCTTCCCTTCATCCTTCAATTCTTCTTGTTAATTGTTCTCATGTCTTTAGACCATTTATTAAATAGTGACTTTAGTGCTTTCCTTCCTTCCATCCTTCCTTTCTTTCGTTTTCTTTTCACCGGCTCTTCGTGACACTTCTTTTTGGGTCCTTGACCCCACAGTTGTGGCCCTGAAGCTGTGCTTTGATGGCTTTAAACCAACGACTTGGGGACGTTGAGTGCATTTTGTGTGATGAGAGTGCCGCGTGTTTGTGGCCAGTTCTATCAACTTTTGCGATACTCTTTTGGCTTGTTTGTCTTGTTGCTTGGCTCAGACCGTACTCAGTCCATCTATAGAGAGTTCATTCGCAGAAAGCTGCGGAGAAAAAGTCTCAGGCCTTGGCCTCTGTGGAAGAAACCATTTCCGCACTGAGCTATGCAGAGCAGGCAGCCGGGATTCGAAACAGGCGGGGAAGCTTCCTGGAAGTCTTTGCACCTCAGCGGCTGAGGACAAATAGGACCTTTGCAACTTCACAACTTTCAAGTGAACTTGTTTCACCCGGCTCTTGGCCTTACTACGAACGGAGCGATCGGACGCTGCTACCGAATTCCAACGACACAACGACACAAGGCCTGTGGCCTCCTCTTTGCTTCGGACAGCCACGGTGGCGGCCGCGGCACGCACCGTTCACCCCGCAGATGTGAGCCGCGTGCCCAGCGAGTCACGGGTTTCATCGGCTCGTCGCCGCTCGAGCCACTGAGGTTCGAACTCTGGTTTGGGTGCGTCTGAATGGGCAGAGCTGGAGATGAAGGCCGAAGCCGAAAACGTTTGAAGAAAAGACTCATGTTCTGTTCTTGTTTCCAAAAGCATGCGTATTAATAAGCTTACATCATGTTCTTTCTATTTTGGGTGCCAAGAGAGTCTTCTTGGACGGAAACCCTTCGAGAACCGTCTTCTTCGCAAGTTTCCCCCCCAAATCTCGGAACCGAATAGCGGCTAGCGAGCTATCTAGCTCTTTTGTGTGCTAGGTATTAGCTTACTTGTAGGTAGTAGCTACCTCAGTTCCTACTAGCTACCTCTAGCTAACCTACTAGCTACCTCTCTAGCGGCCTACCCCAGATCCCCGAAGCCATCGTTTGAAGGTCACCTATCTCTCTCAAGAGCTTGAAGAAGCCCAGGCAGGGGAGAAGCTTGTGGAGATCGCAAGTAGATCAAAGCTTGGGAGATGGGAACAGTTTGTACTAACTCTAGCTATCTCTAGCCGAAAGTCAGTCTTGGCCCGTCTTTGCATTACCTTACACGATTCTTTTTTTAGCAGGCTGCTAGTACACATTATGGGACTAGCAGGAGGATGGGAGAACAAAGTATGTGTTTTAAACGTTTTTGTTTTTCCAGACAGGTGTTCTGCTTTGCCAGGTTGCTTTGGGGCGCAAGTATCAAGAGGCTCAGGCAACAGCTTCTACAGATTTCATCATCACCTTGCTTCTCTCAACATGAATCAAAACTACTCTCTACTGAAGGAGGAGGCAGAGCGAGCACACCGTGCTGAAATACGATTAGATCAGGTGGTACAGGAACTTCGAAAGGCACAAGTCGCTTGCCAGGACCCGCTCAAAGATGGTCAAATGCAGTAAACATCTATGCAGAATTCATCTATGAAATCGCTTCAAAGAGCTCTGAGAATTTGTGCAGGGAGAGTAGTGCCAAACGAATGTCGAGTCTAGTGGGTCGAGTCTGTCCAACTTCAGGAGCAAGCCTTTGCCAGACAGCGTTTTGCTAGCCTGGCGGAGGGCCGCCATGAAGCCTGAGCCTCAATTGTTCATCTCCAAAAGATGTGTTCGAATCCTTCGAAGCATCGAAACAGCGCAAAAATACGTACCATTGTACCATGATGTTTTTCACTCTTGTGGATGCAGGCGGCACTGAGCTTGCAGTCTTCATTGTCTTCTGTGGAGCAACATTGCACCTCGCTTGAAGAGCGATGGTATGCTGCGAAGGATCAACGCACAGCATCTCAATGCCATGCGGAGGAGTTTTGCAAGAAGATTCAACAAGACATAAGGGAGAAGTTGGAGGCATCAGGTCTTTTGCCTCCAAGTCACATTGAAGCTCGAGTGAAAGAAGACACTCAGGCACTAGAGCACGTGGAGCTTCCGGCTTTGGCCAGGGAAGCGGAGGAGAAGATCTACGAAACGAACTCACTCCAAACAGCGGCCATTGCAGATTTGAGAGCGGAGCAGCAACGTCAGCATGGGTGTGTGGTGAATTTGACTGAGCAGCTTGAGAAGAATCGAGCTTTGACATTGAAGAAGGTCTCAAAGATCTCTGGCACGGCAAAAGAGAAGGTCTTGGAGAATTGGTCTTCCACCGAAAAGACTCTGCAAAATGTCAATGACGTCTTCAGTGAAATGCTTGAAGCTACCAGGTGCCGAAACATGGACAAACAAAAGATTATATAACCCCCCCCCAAACAGACTAAAACAGACATGGTCAACAGATTTTCTTAACAATTCCTTTTACCTTCTCTGATTGTTTCCGATTGTTTTCCTTCGGTTTTCCGGTTTTCTTTCCTTCTGGCTTCGGTCTGCTCTCAGGTGCACCGTCGGCTCTGTGGACTCGTCGGCCAGCTCTGCTCAGCAGCGATTCGCCGAACGCGTGGCATCGTTGAGGCAAAGCTTGGCCCAGCAGCGGAGCTCCTTGGAGCAAACGACGCTACGTTCGGGGCTGGCGCTACGAACGGAACAAGGTTCGCTACTAGGAACAAGGGCATCGCTTCTAGTAACAAGTGCCTTACTAGTAGTAATAAGAAAGCTACTAGGAACAAGGGCATCGCTATTAGGCTATTAGGAGCGATCGGAGCTCCTTGGAGCAAGACATGTCGGACCAGAGGAGCGATCGGACGCTAATTACGAAAAGGGGCTCCTGGCCATACTACGAACGGAGCAAGAGGACGCTACTAGTAACAAAGAGCATCGCTACCAGTAGCAAATAGCCACTGACCCACCGTAGTAGCTCCTGGCATCACTACCGGGAGCAAGAAGCTACTAGTAACAAAGAGCATCGCTTGTAGGAGCAAGGACTCTATACGGTAGGCTGCTATAGTAGAGGTGAGAGGTACGGAGTCGCTAGTAGAAGCAAGGGAGTTGCTAGTAGCTTAAGTAGCTACTACTAGTATGGATGCAGGATAGCTCACGCTTCTTCAAGGAAGCTCCGCCTGAGGGCAGGGGGAGCTTCCTTGAAGAAGCGCTCGCACTATTCATTTGATTCCTATTGTTTTTTGCTCTTTTTACAGGGAAAGTTAAGATTGGAGACCAGATGGTGGTATCAGACCACCTATATATGGGGCGTAGTTGATTGGACCAGGTAGTCGATGTGTGTCTGTGCACCGTTCGGTGACCTCTCAGGCCTTCTAGAGCAAAGTGCCAAGAAGACCTCTGAAGCGTTGAGCGCGGCCCAAAGCGCCGTCACCGAGCAGCACAGGTTGTCCGAGGAGTCGATGGCAGGAGCCCTCGAAGCAGTAGAACAGCTGCAGCAGATGCATGTGGAAGTCCTCATGCAAGTGAAGCAAGAAACCAGCCAAAGTGCTGACAAAATGCAGGTGGGGTGTTTGCACTTACAACAAAAATCAGTAAAGAGAAAGAGAGAAAGAGAGTCAGAGTGTGTGAGGGAGAGAGACACGCTTGGTCAGTGTGCACGCTGGCGGATAGGCTGCGACATCTTCGGTCAGCCAAGCTCTAGATTCCAATCGGCAGCAGACTGCAGATGCCACAGAGCAACAGTGCGGGCCGAAGAAATACATTCCTGTAAAGCATCGGGTTAACCAATGTGTATTGAACCAATTAAGCAAGTCAAAGCCCTACGTAAGCCGTTGTTTGCAGTTGTTTGCATCGTTGTACATGCATCAGATTGTGAAAGATAAGAGATGCTGGGGAAGTGGAGTTTCCCAACACGAGCCCAGGCAGCAACAATGGGATTCAGTTGCCGATGCCTTCCAAAAACACGCTGAAGCCGCATCCTTGGATGAACAGCCGCAGACGCCGCAAACCGACGTTCCGTAGCAGCGGTTCCCGCGGATGCGCAGCATGTCATTTGTTTGCGCAGCAGCGATTTTAAAATGACAAATGCAGTTCCAGTCATAACAGAGATGCGTAATGCAACCATAGTAGACTTGTGACACTCAACAGAGTGGAAATTCGATTGAAGAGCAGGGAAGATGAAGAGCAACACATACCAATGACAGAAATGATGCATGCAACAGCATAGCTGCTAGCCATGGTCAGCATGAAAGAGATCAGTTTGAAGATGTTTGAAGCACTGTTGACAAGTCAATTCAATGGAACGACAACGCAGCTGGTCTGCAGGCAGAAGATGCCATGATCCAAACGGCCAAGACAGAATCGGAAAGGATAGAGCAGGCGCTCTTCTGTCTTGCAGGAACATCTTCGAACATTGGAGGGAAAGACAAGTGCATCGCTACTAGATGCTACTAATGCATTACTGCTAACAAGAAGCTACTAGTAGCGCGGCACTTATTACTAGTAGTAGCTTCTTGTTACTACTAGTAAGGCACTTGTTACTAGAAGCGATGCACTTGTTACTACTAGAATCGAGTCTTATGCGTGCTTCGTTTTGAACGAAAGAGAACCGCCGAGAAGCCGCCAGACGATGCACCTCAGGCCTCAGTGGAACGTATCGCTGGATGCGCGGAGCGCACTGCAGAAGCACAAGGAGGGGCAGGACTAATGGCAAACGTCTTTAGGCTTTAGGCCCTAATTTGCAAACGACAAGGTACAGATCTTCTTTTCTGTTTTCTTTGTTAGTAGCGATGGCCACTCTAGTAGCGATGGCCTCCACCCTAGGCCCTAAGGCCTGAAACATGCAGCAATTAAGACTTTTAGAGCTTTTAGTTGATGTTCGGGCCACCATCTCTTCCTAAAGACCGGGTCATTGAACTCAAATGAAGCAAGCTGCAAACCTCTTCGGGGCGCAGAAGAAGCGTAGTATGAAGGGTAATTACGAAGTAAGTAGGAGCTCTCATCCAGTTACAAGTGAGGAAGGACGTGGTCTGCGGAATTGTGTCGACGGTCGACTTGTGCCACTCAATGGTGCAAGTTGTGCGTGTTCGACCTGGAAGGCCGTGCACTTGGTGGCGTTCAGGCACTTCGCAAAGGTGCTGTCGAATTCTTAGATCGAAGCGAAGCTGCACGGTAATTACTGCATACTACGTACGTTATCAGCATTCTGATCACGTCGGGGAGTAAGTCGACAGTAAGCCCATGACCTCGGGAGAGAAAGAACTCCAAAAAGAAACGAAAGAAACGAAGGAAAGGAAAGGAAAGGAAAGGAAAGAAAGGTCTAAAGGTAGAACAAAAAGGAAAGGAACCGTCCAGCAGGGCAGAATATGGCAGAATTAGTTACTTCATGTTACTAGTAACAAGTGCCACGCTACTAGTAACAAGTGCATCGCTACTAGTAACAAGTGCCTTACTA